GAGCAACGTCTTCACACCAGGTCACACAACAAAAAAGACAACACATGACAGAGTCCATGATAGGCAACTACAAATAGAACCTAGCCTGAAGTTCATTTTCTCCTTTTTCCCAAAAATCTGCCATGATCTCAACAAGAGAAAGCAAGATTACCTTGAACCAAGCCCTAGACTACCTTAGTCCTTTATACTTTCTCTGTCTGCTACAATTAATAATTTAAAATAAATAGTATTTATGTCAAGGAGAAAATAGGGTTTTAGGGTATTGTCAAGCATGAATATGTTTCTAATTTTTTTCTGGAAAAACACATGGGTGACATATGCTTTTTACCATATCCAAAGTCAGTTGATAATACAGTAATTCTGCCATAATGCTATAGTTGGAATCTTCATACTGTCATTTTTAAAATGGAGGATTGCATTATAGACACAGTAATGATACAGCAGGGAGGTGAGGGCAGGGTCTGTTGCAAAATCTAAATCACTCTGATCCAAGCTTTGGTTTGACATCATGGTTGCTATCAGCTTAAACATGTGTTGATGAGGAATTTGGGGCTCTGTGACCAGCGAAGACTTTCAGAATTTGAGCACTCACCCAGTTAGTTGGCACTCAGTTTTCCTTCCTGCTTCTCAAGACTTCCCCTCCCCCATAGAAAAGAACCTTGGTTTGCACTGGTTGAAAGTGAAGGGGAGACTGGGTAAAGAGTTAAAGCCAATCACCAACTCTGTTATATTTAGATCATCATTATTACAGTGGGAGGAATATTTTGATCTTTCTATTTAACTCCTTTATAATAGTCATCACAGTTTTCACTTGTTCCTTTTTATGGGTCTATATCAGGGAAAAAAATAAACAATTTGACATGTAAGCAAAACCACATCTCTCCTGTGTTCCTTTTACTTTTAATTTTTGTATTTCCCCTGGGAACAGATGATTTAAAAAAAAAAAAACAGATTAATTGATAAAATGAAGCAGAGCTTAAACTGGGTATAATTTACTATATGTGGGACCTTCAGGACAGGCTGTCATAGCTTCACAAACCACCTATATTTTCAGTTGTGCCAATCCAAAGGGACCAGAGTCATCTATTTTTAAAAGATAACTAAAGAATCAGATTTTGCTCCTAAGCAACCCTACACTCCACAGTGTCCACTAGATGTTTGACCTAATTCTGCTGCCTCCCGCTCCACTTTTCTTTAGACAGTAGTGAAGAGACGTTCTTTCTTGTACTCATTTTAGCTCATAAAATCTATGTCTAGTTACAGCAAATTCTGGCCAAGCTGGAACATCAGTCAATAAAACCATCATCAACAGCCATTGTTTGCAGATGCTCTAGGTCTGGAAATCACTGCTGGCATGCCTGCATATTTAAAAAAAAATACTAAGAAGTTTAGTAATTTCCAGAAAGCATATGCATGTAAGGGGAAAGAAACTTCTGAGAAAACTTTAAGGCCCAAGATCTTGAAATAAGTGGATCAGGCTTGGTGATCACCTGACTCAGTTCAGCTAAACCTATTGACCTTCTCAGGATTAGAATAGAATGAATAGGGACATAGTGTATGATAATCTCTGAAGCATGGTTTTGTGGTCACTATTGAAGCTATTTGCCCTAGAACATTGAACTCACCACCTATCTTTTCAGCTATATTACTTTGGCTCTTGAAAGCTTTATCAAACTGTGTCTCTTATTTAATGGAACATTTCTGCAACAGATTGCACCTGAGGATATTATGGTGAGAACAAACGCACAATCATTTGGGAGTAAGAGCATGGCACAGACATGGTGGTAGGGGTGGCACTGTCAGAACAAAGGATGAAATCAATGAGAAAGGTGGTAAAAAGTCACAAAATTTTAATTTCTTCCCAATTTAGCCTAGAACTACTTGAAAATCTGTCATTCTCTTTGAGTGTTCTAATATTTTCAACTTTCACGCAAAATTTTCTGCCCCAGCACCTACATTCATGTTGCAATATGGGGTCTATCATGCATAGATCAGAACTAGAGAAATAAGTTGCCTATGTGTCTGTTAGTCTTTATATAAAATCAAATTGCTTATTTCAAATATTCCTAGTTTGCTTTAGATAGCTTAATATCCCATTGCTTCTTTTTAGTTATTTCCTGCTGCTGAATTAGGTGAATTGCCTTATATGATTTCTTACCCATGGTAAATGATAAATAAACATCCTTCCTGGGATCAGAATATATTTTTAACTTTTTAATAAAATAGACATACAATTCCAAAAAGTATAAATTTATACTTAATAAATGGACCGTAAACATCTGTGTAACCTCCGACAGGATCAAGAAATAGTATATTGCTAAATCCCCAGAAACCCATTCTGATAACAAACTGCCCACTCCTCTCAGAGGTAACCGCTAGACCCCCTTTCATGATAATAATTTCCTTGCTTTTTTTTTCCTTTTTTTAGTTTACCGCTGTATATGTCCCTAAGCAACATAATTTAGTTTCGTCTCTTCTTGTGACCCATAAATGGAATCATATTGTGTACTTTGCTTTATCTTCCATGTGGTCACATATATTTGCAGTTTCTTCATCGTCATTGCTGTATGGTATTCCAGTGTATACAGCACGACTTTAACTCATTCTCCTACTCATCAATATTTAAGTATATTCTAGGTTCTGGCTACTAGGAAAAATGCTGCTACATGTTCTGTCCATGCCTTCCGGCGCACGGGTTCATGAGCACCTCTAGTGTAGATATCCACAGCTAGAAATGCTTGGGCATGCAGTATGTAAATCTTCAACTTTGCTCAATACAACAGTGGAGATGTTTTTTTCCAAAGTGGGTATTACAATTTTTACTCCCACTACACGTATACAATAGTATCTGTTGTTCCACATCCTCACCAACACTTGGTATTGTCAGACTTCTTAATTTTTTGCCAATCTGGCATTTTGTGTGTATTAGTATCTCCTTGTGATTTTTAAATTTCTTTCTCACTGTGGTTGTAATTTGTAAAACCATGATTACTAATGAGATTGAGAACCCCTACATGTGTTTATTCCCCCAAGTCCAGGATCTTTAAAATGTACATATAAATTCTGGTCCTCTGGATTTTGATAATTTGATATTATTCATACTGAACACTTCATGCCATACTGGAACATACAGAGAAAGCAAAAGAAATTCATTCATTGAATAGCAATTTGAAGCTGGGAACCTCATATACTTTGACCTATTTTATCCTCAAAATAATTTTGCTAGGCTAGTGTTGTTATCCTTATTTTGCAAATCAGGAAATTGAGGCTCTGAGGTTAAGGAAGTTACCCAAAAGCAAATATACTGCTTAAGTTCGTTAAGTGTTAGAACTGACTCTCAAACCAGGCCTGTATGCTTCCAAAGCCCAAATTCTTTCCAGTAACTATGTTTTCTCCTAAGAAATAACCTTTGCAAGAGCAAAATAATATTCAATATTCTTTTGTAAAATCACTGCATTAAAAACTACATCAAAATAATTTCAAAGATACTCCAGTTAATAGAACTTATTAAATAACTGCATCTATAGGTCAGTTTTTCCTTTCACACTCCAAAATCAAATTCATTAATATTTAAACAAATGAAAGAGTCTTTGATATTTGACGGGATTTCCCATATGAGAATACTTCGTGAGACATTTTAGTCACATGTTTCATTTTCAGCCTGTGACAGGCACTTGTGAATTGATTAACACCATACAGTAGGTTATAGAACAGTAAATGACAGCCAGAAATAAAAGTAACAAAAGACGAGAGTGAGACAAACTCTCCTCAAAGAGATACATTTTTATATAGGTAATCAATTTATTAGGACACTCAACAAATTCAAGCAATAGGCACTTTAAAAAATTAATTTAAAACCAATTAAAGGATAAACATCAAAGATCCTAAGAATGTATGTGTTATTAATGGTGCTTTTTTCAACTATCAAATTCTAATAAAAGTCTGTAAATCCTGCAGATACAGAAACAATTTTCGAAGAATCAAATTAACCAGAAGCAATGACACAGATATGAGATTACCTACAAAAGGGGGTAGACCAAGCTTAGCATCCTCCCAGAATGCTAAGAATAACTCTCAGGACAGGAGTAGCATTCCGTGCATGACTCTACCCTCTACTATCTTTACAAAATGACCTTTCGATGGGATCTGATCCAAGACTCTCTCTGGTGATGTAGACACACTGGTAGCTTGTATCTTTGTTACCAACAATTTCAAACAGGCTTGGACTTTGTGTCTATGAATATTAAACTCACATTCATCCAACTCCATAGAAATGAATAGTGAAAACAATTTTATTAAGCACTTCTATACATGTCACATATTTTATGAGGTTCAATTTTTGTTTTACTTTATGAGACAAATGCTCGCTTGCAAAAGTGCCAGCATAGTGTGCACTTTCTAGTTGTCAATATACCTCCATCCTCTCCTGTACTACCAATTGGCTACAAAGATTTAAAAGTTCAGTGATTATAGGATTTACATGATTTTAACCCCTTTAAATTTGAAAACTCTTTAAATCCCATTATCTCTGCAGCCACTGCAAATTTTAAAATCAGCTTGGCCTTTTCTAGGTCCAGGTCTAAGGATTTCAGAGTTTTAGGAGTATAAATGCATTTTTGAAGTTCTATAAAGAGCTCTCCCCAACTGGTTGACCTACAGGAAATCAAGCCAGCCAGTTCTCCAGCTGGTAACTGCTGATCAGAGTTTCTAAATGGAGAGATATGTACGTTATGCCACAAACCACCAGGAAAACAAGTAATTGCTTCCTTGCCTCCATATGAAACCAGTGAATCAGAAGATTTAATGTAGGAGGGGTGGCAGATTTAGACATTTGTCAGTAAATGTCTAAGAATAATAAAACAGAAGATGTTGTAAGGGACCCAAGCAAGCTCTCCGGGGCAGAGAGAGTAAGTTCAGTGAGTTGGAAGCCCTCTGGTTCCTAAAGAAAAGCCGTTACCATGGATACTCTCCAACTGCTAGGTAACCCTCTGAGATCTTACCTCTTGTGTCTTCACATTTATGTATCCATAGTGAGTTCGAAGGGGCCGCCTGTATGTGTAGGAGAATGGTATCCACTTTGTACCAGGTTGTCCAAAGCAGTTTAGTAGCAAAGGGAAATTCACTTCATTTACAAGACGCACGACCAGCAGGAAAAGGAACGCTGCTATGAAGCTCACAGCAATCACAGACTTTCTCTACAAAACATTTAAAAAAAAACAAAAAGAAGAATGAATGACTTTCAACCAAAGGCAGTCACAGAAGGAGGTTCCTTTATTCCTCTCTTTTTCTTTCACAGGGGTTGAACAATTCTGTCATTCAGCGTATTTTACCTGGAAATGGAAAATAATTATTTGGTGACCAAATTGTCCTAGTGTGCTGGGCTGCTTAGAGAAAGCAGAGCTGCTTTCTTGAACTTTTCCATTGCATCTCCACCCTTCCTTATATCACTATATTCCTTATAAACTCCTATTCAGTTTGCAAAACCCAAATCAGAAATTTCCAACTACAGGAAATCTTTTCTAGTTGCTCAATCCCCTCCTCACCACCATGCTTTGACCCCCAACCTACCCACTCTAACAGAGGTAAAGTCCCATCACTGCCATACTTTAAAGACATTTCTACTGTACTTTTTCACTGTGTAATTATTAATGTGATTTTCCTACATGGATTTGTGAGTTCTTAGAGAACTGGAATGTACTGTGTCTTCTTGATCTCCGTATCCCAGGCTCTTAATATGGTACCTTACATACTACAGGCATTCAAAGAACATTTGAGTGAAACAAATGAATAAATAAATGAATGAATGGATGTTCATATTCTTGTAGACACAGTATCATTATCACTTATTCTTCTGTTTCTGTATCTAGCACCCTCTATGAGTAGGAAACTCTGCCTGTGCTACAGGATGTGCAAAAGTAAGATTCAAAAAACTAACAAGAGGGGGGAATAATTATGGCAAGAGCAGAACATTCCTCTACACATGCTGCCATGGAAAAAAAGCAGGAACAACTGCCTCTGACTGACATGGGAGAAAGCAAAGATGTCTTTGAAATTGAGCTTGATAAAATGCCTGTGTTTTAACTGATAGACATGTGTGAACAGAGCTTTCCAGATAGAGGAAACAGCAAGGAGACGAGAATACATAGAGTTACTCATAGGCATACAGTAGTTTGTCCTACTGGAGCACAAAGAAGGAGTAAAAGCTAGAAACACAAATGATAACTTCCTGCTGAATTGCCTCAGATATCAAGCTAACACATCTATACTGAGTTTGCTAGGTGATGGAAAGCCAAAATAAGTTTTTTTTTGTTTGCTTATTTGTTTTGTTAAAGGGGATAGTTGGCCACATAAATGTCTTTCTCTGAGAAGTGCCTGTTCATATCGTTCACCCACTTTTTGATGAGGCTATTTGTTTTTTTTCTTGCAAATTTGTTTAAGTTCTTTGTAGATTCTGGATATTAGCACTTCATCCAATGGATAAATTGCAAAAACTTTCTCCCATTCTGTAGGTTGCCTGTTCACTCTGATAATAGTTTCCTTTTCTGTGCAGAAGCTCTTTAGTTTAATTAGATCCCATTTGTCTATTTTGGCTTTTGTTGCCATTGCTTTTGGTGTTTTAGTCATGAAGTCTTTGCCCATGCCTATGTCCTAAATGGTATTGCCTAGTTTTCTTCTAGGGTGTTTATGGTTTTAGGACTTACGTTTAAGTCTTCAATCCATGTTGAGTAAATTTTTGTATAAGGTGTAAGTAAGGAAGGGGTCCAGTTTCAGTTTTCTGCATATGGGTAGCCAGTTTTCCCAACACTATTTGTTAAATAGCGAATCCTTTCCCCATTGCTTGTTTTTGTCAGGTTTGTCAAAGATCCGATGGTTGTAGATGTGTGGCATTATTTCTGAGGCCTCTGTTCTGTTCCATTGGTCTATATCTCTGTTTTGGCCGAAGCCAACAAACGTATTGAAAAAAGCTCATCATTACTGGTCATTAGAGAAGTACAAATCAAAACTACAGTGAGATACCATCTCACACCAGTCAGAATGGCGATCATTAAAAAGTCATGAAACAACAGATGCTGGAGAGGACACGGAGAAATAGGAATGCTTTTACACTGTTGGTGGGAGTGTAAATTAGTTCAACCATTGTGGAAGACAGTGTGGTGGTTCCTCAAGAATCTAGAACCAGAAATACCATTTGAACCAGCAATACCAAATACCCAGCATTACTGGGTATACAATCAAAGGATTATAAATCATTCTACTATAAAGACACATGCACACGTATGTTTATTGCAGCACCATTCACAATAGCGAAGACTTGGAACCAACCCAAATGCCCATCAATGATAGACTGGATTAAAAAAACATGTGGCACATATACAACATGGAATACTATGCAGCCATAAAAAAGGAAGATTTCATGTCCTTTGCAGGGACATGGATGAAGCTGGAAACCATCATTCTCAGCAAACTAACACAGGAATGGAAAACCAAACACATGCTCTCACTCATAAATGGGAGTTGAACACCGAGAGCACATGGACACAGGAAGGGGAACATCACACACCAGGGCTTGTTGGGGGCTGGAGGGCTAGGGGAGGTATAGCATTAGGAGAAATACCTAATGTAAGTGATGAGTTGATGGGTGCAGCAAACCACTATGGCATGTGTATACCTATGTAACAAACCTGCACGTTCTGTACATGTATCCCAGAACTGAAAATATAATTAAAAAAAAGAAAAGAAGAAGAAAGTTATGAATTATAATCAAACATCAGTGTTTAAGATGCTTTGGAGAAGGGAGAGACTATAGGTAGGTAGTGACTAGTTAGGAGGCTATCCCAATTGCCTAGGAGAGACGTAATGAAGGATGGAAACTAGGGCAGAAGCAGAAGAACTAACAAGGTGGATAAAGATGTGAGAAACTTGATTTAGGTGGGAGAAACAGAACTTGAGCTACTGACAGGACAGAAGTGGCTGATGGAAAATTCAGAGATGCCTGAGATTTTGGGTCCATGTGACTGCAATATTATGGGTCATATCAGGAGAAACCAGAGTTGTCAGAGCAGGAACTGATTTAAGATAGTAAAAAGATAAAGCCCTTGGCTTTGTAGTTTTCAGCGACTGTCAAGGAGTCAGGTGGAAGGTCAAGTCTAGAGTAAGAAGGAGCACAGCTGAAGCCATGAAGTGCAGGGTAAAGACACAATAAAATATTCTTTCATATAGTTGGGCTAGGCACCCTGATTCTTCTTAAAACTTAAGGAAAGCCACATAACTGTCTGACAAAGACCAAAATGTTTATTGTTTTTGCATTTTCAGCTTACCACTACCTGGTGGAATTAGTTCTTTTTGCTCTTCCCAGACTCTCCCAAGGAAGTCAAGAAACCTGAAGGCAGTTCCTGTATCCTCCCAGGGCCAGGGTCACAGCCTCTGTATGGGCAGTGGAATCAGCCCCCAGGAGTCAGCGATACCCAAAGACAGTCTTGCTTCTTGCTCACCTCCCATAATTTGGAAAAGCCCCAGCCTTCTGTCTCACCAGTCTTATTTTCCAATCACCTGAAAGTCCCTTGAGCTCTGCCTCCGCAACACCCCTTATCTCACCACTAACTACCACAGCCTTACCTCATTTAACCTTCTAATCATGAAAAACTGTTTTAATTTGCTCCTCTGTGGAATCATTATGTCCACAACATTGCAATGTGTCAAGGTAACAGTTTAATGAAGTGATGGATCTTACAAGTTTAAAGGGACATAGACCAGAACAGATGGCTAAATAAAAGCAAAGAGGCCAGTCACCCATTAAGTAAACAGGTAAGAACCTTTTTCTTAATCATCATTTGGTAGCTTGTTGCAAAATAGCAGCTTGCTTTGAAGGAGACCCAGATGGGATTTGTGCTTTTGTTTATTCAGAGCCCAGCACGGCTCTCTGGCTCTCTCGGTTGCTGCATTGCATTGCATGACTTGGGGTTTGGGGACAAAGATGTGGACAGCCTTTATGAATCCACTGTTGTGTGCAGCAACACATACATAATGCATACATGAGAGAAAAATAAATCAACCATTTTGAGAGAAATTTCAAAACAGGATGAAATAGCAGTTGTAAAAGTCTGCTCTCTGGCAATCCATGTCTGCCTCTCATGTTCTATCAAAGGGAACCAAGTAATGAGCACAGAGAGGGTGAAGAGAGCAACCAGAGAGCAGAAGCCAGACACCGACTCCTCTGTGTACCACTGGGAGTGGTATTCTTCAGTGGACAGAGGTTCCTTCTGCAGCTCAGGACCCCAGCTCAATTTCTGTTACATTGCCTGGGTTTGATTCTTTGCCCTTCTTCTTGTATAGCATGAAAGTGTTCTCATAGTGCTAGTATGAAACCACTCTGAAATTCCACTAGAAAAGGCATACCTTCAAGTACACTGTGTGCTCCAGATGACAAGTACAACAGAATACAATGCACACTTGCCTTCTTCTAGTAGTCACTTCCACCAGATCGTGACCTCAAGCTTCAGCAACTACAATGAAAACCATGGATGAGACAGAAGCCTACACATCGCTGAATGCAATGAGAATGTGTGTGTGTGGTAGGGATGTGGGAGGTGGGGAAGTGAACAAAGTACTAATATGCATGATATCCATGCATGTATTACATGCATATCATGCAATATGTACTAAAGAATTTACATATTCAAGCCACAATTGCTCATTGAGTCCATACACTGTGTAGAGTTGGCTAGGTGCTAAAAAAAACAAAATAAAACCGTAAAAGACACACCATGCTTCCAAAGAGTCACAACTTAGTGCAGCTGGCCAGTAAATAGAACACTATAATACCAGGCGCCAAATGATGCTAATGGGGGATGCACAGGGTGCTATGGAAGGCCAGAGGAAGGGTGGGTATAGGAGGAACAGTTCAGGGAATGTTTGTCTGGAGTGGTGATATTCCAATAGAGTCCTGAGGACTGCAGGGGCCTCACCAAGAGAAGACGTGAAGGGCATTCCAGGCAGAGGGATTAACAGTTTGAAAGGCCATTAACTTGGTCAGGAACCTACAAGTCATTTGGTCAGAAGAATACATAGACTCTAAGTTGTAGGAGATGATGCTAGACAGAGTTAAAATAATGAAACAAAAGATAATAAGCCAAATAAATGAAGTTGGATGCAATCAACTGTCCTATCTACCCTACATTGGGATAATGAAAGGATA